ATATGGACTCTTTCTTGACTTGGACTTTTTTTCGGACATTTGTAGGTTCATAGTGTGTATGTAGAGTGTAGCTGGATGCTGCAATGCAAACCTTTTAGCTGTACTTGCTACCATTCGATTTTAAACAAGTGATCAAAATGCAATGGATTCATTCACAGGTGCTTTACAAGATCAAAAATTATAGTGGCTAGCACTCAACGTCCTTCTTCCGCCTCAAGGAGTGTGCGACGATTGACTATCATGGTGGCGTAAATCTTAACGAGCATCTCCCTCACTGAAAGCTATTCCATAGTCAGTCTCTCGAAAACCTCGACTCCAAAAAGTCATACCTCCATGAAGGAAACGAGATCCTCAGTCTTCTCCTCGTCAAGGCCTCCTTCAGCGGCAAGTGACCTTGCAAATTCGCGCAACTGCATCTTCTCAATGGATTCATCGATAGAGGCGTCTTCTTCTGCAATGTCCCGGCGGCTACGTTTCCGGGGCAGGAGTTGAGATGAAGAGTTGGAGAGCAGGTGGCTGGAGGAAGCATTGGAATTGTCGCCGTCTTCGGCACAAGTCGATGAATTAGCCATGCCACTCGAAAAGGAATTTGAAATCTGAAGGGTACAAGTCAATGAAATGATTGTTGTATGCAAGAGAGCTCGTACAGATTCGGTCGAGTTGTGAGGCTCGAGACCATTCATATTATCAGACTCTTTGATGCTTGAAAGAGATTCTGAAACATGTGAGGGATGAGTGTGGAAGTCAAGATGAGCAGCCTGCTCTATGTCAGCTTGGCTAGCTTGTGCTGCACCTGGACGTCAGCAATGGCAAAGTAGAAATCACATCAAATGTATTACCAAGCTCATTATTGGAAGGAACTGGCGAGTTGGGACTAGAAGATTCCACCGCCGCGAAGAACTCGGCCGGTGATGGAAGGAATGGAGACATGGTGGCTAGGGTAGAGGAAGCCAAGACAGGAAATGGAAATGATATCGATCAGGATTACGAAAAAGGAGTGCTTGGAGTAAGGATGGGCGATGCGTTGCGCGAATATTCAGGATAGCGAACAGAAGCGGGAAGAGTTGAGAGTCAAGTCTGATTCAAACTCCGCCAGGAGCGTGTCACCCTGTTGCGGCGCCGGCTTACCACGACTCGGATGGAAGAAGGGGCACAGTGTGATAATAAGTGACCAGTAATCAGTGAAAAATCTCAAGAATCAGGTATATAAAATGAATATGAGTACAGTGGTCAGACACCGAGATGGACAAACGGAAGCCAATCGAGAAGCGAGACCCCTGGTCTTTCACGCAGCTGCTTCATCGCAAAGTGTAGCGCTTCTGCTGCCTTCCTGTTATCTGGCCGCTTCCCTTCTCGCGTCAAATAGGCATAGAACGCGTCCGCTACTTCTGGTGCAAGGTCATCTCGAATAGACCACATCGTCGCCACCACCCCACGATATCCCGCCAATAACATTGCACCTGCGATATGAACGGCTTCTTCCGAGAGCTTTTCATCCCCAGCTGTCGTCTGACAAGCGGATAGGAATGCAAACTCTGCGGTGGGAAGGCGGAGTTTGATGATTTCTTCCAGAGTGAGGTGACCATCTTGGAGGATTAACGCGCTTT